ACTACGTACGTACTCTCTCTCTCTCTCTCTCTCTCTCTCTCTCTCTCTCATCATCATCATTATTTCATCACCCATCATTACCTTGGACAGGACTACTTGCCATCCACCATATCCTTGGATGGGGACGACCCCATGGGCAGTGGTTCTCCACAGCCTATTGGATAATACACACACAAGCACATGCGCACACGCGCACACACTTTCCCATAAAGAGCATGCCATTTCATACAATGAGAAAGTCATATAGGAACCTATAGACGAGTCATGATACTTGGCCGTGGTAATCTAAAAAGTATACCTCCGCCAGCTAATACATGCAATCTTTTCACAAAAACTGCAGCTGATGATAGCTTAGGTTGGATAAGATCCTGCAATTGATGATAAAAAAACAAAGCAAGTCAGAATGCTAAGGATAGAGCACTATAACCGAGGCAATGGTTCTCACTATTGACTTGGCTCTTTGACAAATCTTTTGCTACAATGCTTTACTTTATTTACATGATGGATTTCGTCCCACCCACACCATAACTTAGGAATGGGAACAAATTTCAGTCTTGAAGGGAGACCTTTCTATATCAGAAAAGAAAGACCAGTTGATTTTCTCCAAATTCTGATGAAATTTTGGCTGAAATCAAATTCAGTAAAAACACCAGCTCACAAGGAAAAAAGTACCACCATGAGATTCAGTTGACTTTGACAGGATTTTTAAAGAAATAAATGGTGGTCTACAAGCCAATATACTAACACAAGTAGTTATATTTGGCCACTGAAATTCATCAAATCGGATTAAGGAAAAATCCACAAAGCCATTTATTATTTTGAGTAAACGTTAAAGGTAACACAAAGGCCATTTATTACATTGCAAACTTACTTGAGAGGGCATTTCGCTCCCATCATCAGGAGACCAACCATTTTGGTCACACTCTGATAGCTCGGGAACGTCAAAAAATTCATCTGCAACCTCATTCAGCTGAAGGAAAGATCCAGACCCAGTGGTTGGTTTAAGTAGATCCTCTTCTTCTGAGGACTTGGATTTTTTACCACTCCCCACCTGAACCCCAACTTCAACCTTGATGTCCTCCCTTACACCCTGGGGCAATAAAATATCCCTTGCCAATTCACCAGATGAGAAGTCAGAGCATTGATAGGTTCCTAGCTTGGCTTTGAACATCTCCCTCAGAGCTGCACAGGTAAAAGAGAAGTGCATGTTCCTATGTCATGATTTAGAGAGGCACTCTCAATGTTCAAAGGGAAAATATAACATAGCAAACTATGGAAGAATAATAGTCTACTGGATCACCACTGTCCCATTTGGTCAGTGGGGGAGAGAGAGTTGGACCAAGTAGAAATGACATGACTCAAATGGTAGACTCCACTCTCTCTTTGTTTGCTTAATCAATTTAACTGGAATACTGGATGGTGATGGCATTGGTTTTCCATATCTATCAAATTATAGTAAACTATCCCACATGATAAATGACAACTAAACAAAGGGAAATAATATCATAAACCAATGGGTTATGGTATACGGTATGAGAGGAGAATCCCCGTCTATTCTAGGTGACAGACAGTGGATATTATTTGCATTCCCTAAGGTTAGCCTCCAAATCTGCCATGAGGAATGGAGAGTGGATTGCCACCTCTGACTATTACGCATCATACTCCATTGGACTATTGTAAACTTTCCCATAAACAAAAAAAACACATTTTAAAAGTAATATACCTGCAACTCTCCCGAGCATTTTAATGGTTATATTTCTTGCTGATGCTGCAGATAGATAAGATTTCCAAAATTTCCAATCTATCGCAAGCATGTGCTTTACTACTGACTGCTTTCCATGATTAACTGGCGATATTACATATCCTCCACCTACACAAGATCATGCAAGCATATTGTTCTACAATCATCCTCCACCTACAGAAAAGATATGGGAACTAAAGAACCTAAAAAACTATTATCATTCATTGCCATATTAAAAGCATACATTACTTTTAAGGCAGGCCTGAATGGATCTTCTCTGAGGTAAACATTTTCTGTGAAATACGGAATGGTACAAAATAACTGCATCAAATGGCAACTGAGGTATTAGCCTATAAACTAAATGACTCAAAAAGTTCAAATGTTCAATGATTCATCTTAGAAATGAAGTACCGTATGTCCCATCATCCTCTCTCCTCCAATAGCGCCTCAGCAACAGATCTCTTCTTTTCATTCCCCTGCCAGCTATAAGATATGTCATAAATTCCTAAGAATGAGACTATTACATACATCATACCGACAAAAAAGGAAAGTGCAGATGGATGCATGTAGAAAGAGAGAGAGGGGGGGAGGAGAGAGAGAATTATCTATTTCATAATCGAAGTGAGCCAAGAAAGATCAACTTGCGTGCACAAAGAGAGAGAGCGAGAGAGAGAGAGAGAGAGAGATTGTCTGTTTTGCACTAGAAACTATTAAACGTAAAACAACTCGCATTCATGTAGAGAGAGAGAGAGAGTGAAAGACTAAGGCTTTTCCATTTTATACTTTGAGATGAAACAATAATTCAATTTTAGCAATTAAAAGGGGTATAAGATTCTAACCAAGGTAACCAATCACTGTGCAACTGCTTGTGAATTATATCGGTATGACCATCAAGGTGTTCAATGACACTTCCACGAGAAAAGCAGAAATCCCATCTGTATAGAATTTCTTTCGGTTGAGAGGAGTTACATAGCTCAAGGCATGCCAAAGTAAAGAGATGGATCATACTTACTCTGTTCTTGACGGGCCAAGAGACATAACTGTCTGAAAAACCAACTCTGATGATGCATCGACCACACCAACTGCCATTATAGCTGGATGGTCATCCCAATGCTAAGAAAGGGAGCATCCATCAGCAATTACTCAATAATTTGCCACAAACTTTCATTTTAAGTGAAACAACAAAAAACAGGTCAATGATTTAGCTGAATACCTTTCCATGGCAACCTACATCTCGAGCTTCCTTGAATAATCGCAAACCTGAAAGAAGAAGTAAATCAAAAAGAAGTAAATTCTCAAATCCAACTTGCAAAAATAAGGACCATTAGAATACCATTTTTGCAGCCAAATATTGTCCATGGAGATGGTGCAACAACATCAGCTGTCGTTGGTTCAACGTGCACTGATGGAAAACCAGTCCAATCGAGCAAATCTGTCAAAAGGAACAATTTCCATGGTGACAATCAATACACTAGACTGCCAGAAATTTTCACTTGCAGATAATTTAGAAGAACAGAGGAGGCTAACATAGTAATGATAAACAATAGCAGCAATTAGCCAATGGATAGCCAATCCCAGTCATTGGGTTTAAGACATGTTAATCAGAATACATCATCTATAACTACTAAATATAATTTTTGAAGGGATATGGTAACAGTAAACAGGCCATGGTGTCCAAGGAGTAAACTAAAAAACAAATCTAGTTCTCTCACTATTAGGGGAGGGGGGGGGAAACATGTGGCAGTTTTAAAAGGATCTGGCTGATGTGGCAGATGTCTGTTGCGCAAAGGCAGGATCCCCTTCCATAACAAATTAAATTGACAAATGCACACCTGACAGTCCTAGGATTGACATTGTATTCCATGTGAGAAAGCTTAGAATTTGACTACGACTATTTGAAAACATTTAGATACTCAGAAAGTCCCAAAATTCCTGATATATAGAAATACAACACAAAGAAAATGACAGAAATATCCTTAGAGCCATCTGACCTGAGGAGTACATGCGAGTCGCTCCCCTGTTACGGTTCAACCTGGGGTAAAAATAATGTAGTCAGTAACCTTGCAAAATATCAACTAAAGAGATGGAAATGATAAAAGAGCATTAAAAGATAAAAATATAAAAAGAATACTCAACTCTGAAAAGACAATCCAAAAAGTTTTAAAGACGATATATAGTACTAGACACTTGTTGGTCATCCCCTTCTATTATGTGCCCAAGGACTCCAATGAGCCCTGTGACTCTCTAGCCAGGGAGGGACCCGTTAAAGAGGCAATAACCATAGGGAACACTTTCTGACCTCCTCAGTACTTGCTCCACGTGCATATTGTTTGTTTTGCCAGATGCTTATGTCACAAGCCTCTATTGCTTGAGGGACTGTTACTTAATTGCTTGACAATCAAGAGAGTTATGTATTAAAAAGAATGTTGCTTTCCACAAAACATTGAGGCACTGGCTTTTCTCATTACAGGTTTTTCTTTCATGATGTGTTCGTTGAAAAACATTTACTCGACAAATAATGACATTAGGGAATGAAGGAACCCCAAATGAATATATTTTTAGACAATAATCATACTGTGGGGTAAGAAAGGTGAGGACCTTATACTTTCCTTTAACCTGTCCCAAGCCCGGGTAAAGGAGGTGAGTTGTGTTAGGTAAACAACCAATGTAAAACTTTGCCAAAACTTTCATGAGTCATAAATCTACAATTACCATACTGAAGGAAGTAGAAGGAACCCACAAATGACCTGAGATATGCAACTTACCTAAAGGATTGCCATTTCCTTTTAGAACAAAGTGAGAAGTTCCTTTCTTGATCAGGGCACTCCTGAAATTTATAGAGAAAAGTAAATGAATTTGTGCCCTCATGTTTGAATTAAACCAAAGTGAAAGGGAAAACTATCACTCAAATCTATCTTAAAAGAAGTTCACGTTTTATAACAATTGGAACCTTTAGTGCTGCTTCTTGAAATGAATGTATCCACCTGGCCGCTTCTTCCGAACTCCTTGCTCCTAGCTGCTTAGATAAAAAGGCATTACATAATGTTTATTCACAAAGAATTGATAAAAGAAGGATCCTGTTAACAACTTTGGTCATTGCAAATACAAATTAAGGAACTCGCCTTAAGCCGATCATCATGATTTGATGCATTGTAGAGTGTAAAGATGAATAATGGCTGCAAGTTGCAGCAAGAAATATTAGTCAATGAAATGCCCTATGTTCAATATTTACTTAGTGAAAAAAAAGATATTAAATGATAAAAGAACCCACTGATAGTAAATGCTAAAATCTCTCTCTCTCTCTCT